TTTTTTTTTTTTGTACCGGGGATCGAACTCGGGACTTCCCACTTGCAAGGCAGGCAGCGGAACCATTGAGCTAAATCCCCGGCCCCCTTTTTTTTGTTTGTGTTTTGGTACCGGGGATCCAACTCGGGTACTTGTGCTTGCGCAGCCGGCGGCGAAACCACTGAGCTAAATCCCCGGCCCCATTTACTATATTTTAGATGGCTTTGGTTCGGTGGATTTCAGAAAGGCATGGGGATCACAGGCAAATTCAAAGTCAAAATTTAACATAAAGGATTAAAAAAAAGTAATGAAGGAGAGGGGTAAGGAGTATGCTGAATGTTCAAAGCACTAGGTAAAAATGAGCCCATCTACTCTTCTAAGACGCATTGATCAGAGATTCAGTGCTAAAGAAAAACTCATGCTGGTGTAAGATGACCAAACCTGAACATGGGATATCTGATCCTGAGGAAAAAAATGAGTGCACCAAAGTAGCACTATGGTATTGAAAAGAGAACAGTAGGGAAACTTAAATCTCCACAACACACTTCTGTCATCTTCTCCTCTATTCTTCCACTCTATTTCTTTTCTCAACAAATTCGAAGAGCCTTAGAGGTAGGGCAAAGCCCGAGAGAAGGGACTGGAGTGGCAGATAAGAGGTAATATAAAGTTTGGAGGAAAATTATTTTCTCCTCCCACTGAATCCTGGATTCAAGAAAACAGGGTAAATTGAACTCGACAAAGGCCACCTGCTTATTTGTATAAGGTGAAAAATAAAAGCTCCAAGTCTTGGAAAACAAATTGTTGGATGCGATGCATGGCAGTGACTAGAATACTGAACCGATGAACCTCTTCTCTTCTAGATCTCATCCCAGCAATCCCAAAAGCACTGGGCCATTTTTAGCAGTACATATACAAAATACTGTTTTTTAAATGTCGGGCATTTTATATATTATACTTTTTTGGAGAGTAAGATCGTGTGAAGGAGATAAAGGAGAGCAGAGAAAAACAGCAGGAAGTCAGTGGCTGGAGCAGTTAAAGAGTGACACGGCACTGGGTCAAGGAGCCTCCTCGTCCGTGGTAAAGGAAAGGACTCAAAGCACCGAAACTTCACACAGACGCTACGGCAAATAGCCAGGCTCCTGGTGGCCCGTCTGGAGTTGTCGAGGGCGGACACTGAGCCCGCTGGGGTGGCCAGACATTAAATCCACCTCCCCAAAAACCTAGCTACCACGCCACCAACCAAAGACTGAGAGTCCACTCCTTCGTTACCAGATCTAACCTCTCCACCATTCTTAACACTCCAGGAAGCGAAACAGAAACTGTCGCGAATACGAGCCTAGGCCAGGCGGGTCCGGATACCCCAAATGCCACACCCTAAATCCCGGGCTTCCTCGCGCCGTTAGGGGAGGGCCTAAGGAAAACGTGCACCACTCATAATGCAGATGTGAAGGACAGTCAGCCCCAGGACCAATAAGAGAGATGGTGGGTGGGGCCAAAGCTTGGGGTTTAAACCTCTGCGAACAGCCCGTTAACGGCTGGAGAGCGCCAGGGCTGGATGTTCGCGTGCGCGAGTGGGTCAAGCTAACCCAAACTCGCAGGGCTCGGCAGCAAGGGCTGCGGGACTCCGGGCGGTCAGCGGACTGCGGCGAGACGATGAGGTGGGCGGTGGCCGGGGAGGCGGTTGCGGGAGGGAAGGGGTCGCACAGAAATGCGGCTTCCCTGTCTCTTGTCCAGGTTCCCTCAGACTCGTGGTGGTCAGATACAGTAGAGGTTTCCTGAAGCGTGTGAGCCGCACTGTGCCTGGTGGCCGCGGCCGCTCGAGGTCACGGTGCCGCCTGCCGGTGCGAGACACCCCCCCCCCCCCGCGGCTGAGAGCGCCCCGGTGGCCCCTCGAGGCCTGGCGCAGGCTGAGGACAGGTCCCCAGGGGAGGAGCCCGCCACCCGGGGTCTCCTTCGGCCAGCTGGTGCGACCGTTTGCGGTTGCTCCAAGGGGGAGCAAAGCTTTCTCACCTTCGGGCTCCACTGAATGTAACTGCGAGAGAGGCGTTTGCCAACTGGAGAGCAGGTAAGATAGAAGGACTTTAGGTGGTCCTACCCCAAAGTGAACACGTCTTTATTATAAAGTTATACAACGTAATTAATGCAAATAAAAACATTACGGGTTTTTTAAGGCACTGGGGATCGAACCTAGAACCTTTGCACTGAGCTAAATACCTCGTCCTTTTTATTTCTTTACACTATCTTATAATTTTGATATCAGGTCACACAAAATTGCCGAGGCTGGGCTCGAATTTGCGATCTTCCTGCCTCAACCTCTGAGTGCAGAGATTACGGGCATGTGCTATCACATGTCTTTTAGATGGGTAAGATTTTTCGATACCCAGTGCTGCTGACAGTGTGATGAAAAAAAGCACCTTTATATTGTGTTAGGGAATTAATTTTTCTAGGGGCAGTTTGTATTTTGCGTTACAATTTAAATTGTACCATAATTTCTAAACCATAATCCCCTTCTAGGAATTTATTCTAAGGAGATATATTGGACAATAATGCTGTTTTTGCCATATTTTTAAAGAAATGAATCTAAACGACAATACTAAGTACACCTGAGGAGAAAAAAATACTTGCAAGTCCACCAGCCAAAAATAACCATCAAATAAAACACTGTTCACATTTGGATTTACTCAGGGTATATTCATTGTGACTGTTGTTTAAATGAATATCCTCTTAAAATGTATTTGCACTAATTGGATATTTTAATATAATGAGGTTATTAGTTTAAAAAAGCAGATTATGCCTTTTTCAGCTAGTCATACATTGAGAACATATTTCTATGTCAAATGTAGATGTGGATTAACCATTTCTTAATGACTATTGTATTTCTTACTATGGCTGTATTGTACCATACATTATTTAACCAGTCCCCTAATGATGGATGTTTAGGTTGTTTCCAATTTCTTCTTGATCATAAAATGTTAGTGGTCATTTGTACATATGTCTGGATTCTTGTCAGATGTTTTAACTCCTTATAATAAATTATTGAAAATGGATTATGGCTTTAAAATTATGGCTCCATTTAAATTCCAATCAAATCCCCTCTGGAAAAATTCATTATCCTTAACTTACGTAGTATATTAAAGATGGCCCCCCATCCACCCACCACTGGGGACAGAACCCAAGGTCTTTGCATTGAGCTATACCCCACCCCTTTATATTTTGGACAAAATAATAGCTAAATTCCTCGGGTTAGATTTGAACTTCAAGTGCTCCCTTCCCAGCTTCCCAGAATGTTGGGATTATAGGTGTGCACCTTTTAATAGCTTTGTAAGAGTAATCTGAATTAGCATTTTAAACGTATTACAAGTGCTTCTCCAGTTAGTAGTTTGACCTTGATTAGTGCTGTTTGCTTTTAATACTGTGATTCTTTGAGCTGCCTGTTTACTTGTCCTATGCTAGAGAAATGTATTATAACTCTGTAGTACCCTCCTTGTCATGCTTAGAGTCCATCTATGTGCCTAACTCCTATCTGCATTTAAAAGTCTCTCCCTTTCCATCTTGTAAAGTCTTTAAATTATAACTAGCTAAACCTGGGACACTGAATCACTTAAGATTTTTGAAGGAAAGATATTGTTAGGTAGTGTTAGGTTATCCATTTTCATTTACAAAACATAAGTTGCTCTAGCTTCTATGTGCAAGTTTCTAAGAGAAAGATTGTCCTGTTTTTATATTAGAAAAAAGAACTGACAGTGACCTATGGGCCTCATTTTTAAAGTCTGCATTTTACTGTTTCCAAACATCTCTACATGTGTTCAAGGAAAAAATGAGAATCTGACATAAACACAAAGGAAAGAATTCTTTGATTATGGAATGCACACCATTAAAAAAATCTTTAGTGTCAAAATTCTTAGGTCAGAGTCCCTACAAAAAGACTATTTATAAACTCACTTGACAATCTATTGAAATTTCTTCCATTTTAAAAATGGAGAAAGTAAAGTCTAAACCATACTTCCCTTTCTTCTAACACTTCTTTAGTCCCTACTATAGGTCAGACTTTGGAATTTGTACAAACACTGAACTCTGATAAGTAACTTTGCAAAGATATACTTGAGGGATTTGCTCATCTGTGATGCTTGTCCTTTTTCTCTGGTAACTATCAAAAATGAGGTCACCAAATCCTTACTGTTAGATTTGATAGTGTAAACTAGTCAATCTTAATGATCCTCTAACTCCTTTGCTTCTACAGAATCATCACACATGTAGAGCTTTTAGTGAGTACCTTTTGTCCTATATGTCATTGCCTTACAAAATGAGGAACAATTTCTTAAGCTCTTTTTTTCTTTTCTAGGTTTTTAATGTGAATATTAATGCCAATCAAGGTACACTGAAATAAGGTAAGAAATTGAAAAAAACTAACTCTGGTTTGTCCTTACATATTAAGTAAAAATATTCTGCCATACTCAGTGATTACACTAAAACAGCAGTTTGATGATAGAGCCCATATTTGTAACTCTATAGAGTCTTGAACATAGGAGCAAACATTGTTGATTGGTAAATAAAACTTTGGATCTCAGAACAGTGTATAATCATAAATGTGGGCCACATGTTGCAGTAAGAACAACTACTCCTGAAACAGAAGTCTCAGTTAATTTGCTTTAATGTTTATTATCTTGTTACAAAGGCCAATGTATTATTTAAGAACTTGGAACTCTTTTGAATACAGGCCTTTATACATAATAATTTTGCTTTGAGAACAACCAAAGGCCCACCTCATTTTCCTTTCAGTCTGTAGTACACCAGCTATTCATGTGCTTATGTCTGAAACCTAGAAGTTATCCTGAAAGCCTTCCTACTTTGGTACTCCATATTGAACCAGTCCTGCTGCTTCTGCTTCCTTAACCTCATTCATCTACTTCTGTCTATTCCCCTTATTACAAATCTGCTCCAGGCCATCATTATCTATTGCCTTGATTATCCCAACAGCCTCCTTTTGGTCCCATTGCCCTTAGTCTTGCCCATTTCCAATCCACAGTATACCCAGAGCACTATTTTTGCTACACAAGCCTAACTTTTAAATTTTCTTTACTGGCCTCTCCAGGTAAAATCCAAGCTTTTAAAAGAAAATACAAGGTCTACAAATGTGACCCTTGCTTTTTTTTTTTTCCTCTAAACTACACTTTTGTCACTCAATCCATACTAACGTATTTATAGCTGAATATCGTATATGCTACATCTCTAACCCTTTATAGAAACTGCATCTTCTGCCTTTGATGCATTGATGTTCTGCTTTATTCTCACTTTAACTCGTTCCCAGTTCTGCAAGATTTGGCTTGACTATTTCCTTTTTGTAATAACTTTTTGTAATAACCACAGGTCCAGAGGTTGGCAAACACTTGGGCCTATGAGCTAAGAGTAATTTTTACATTTCTAAATGGTTAAAAAGAATATGCAGCAGATCATTTGTTTACAGAGCCTAAAATATTAGTTTGCCTACCTCTCTCTGCGCTCAATTTATATGGGGGGGGGTGCCTCATTCTATTACTCTCTATGTAGCATCACACCTGGAACCCCCCCAATTTAAACAATCCTTAACTGACTGAATTTAATATATATTTATAAATTCTGTCTTAGAGAATAGACACTTAGGCAAAGCTCTTTATGGTAATTATTCAGATGAGAATAGCACAAAAAATGAGACGCTTGTGGGATCAGGCTTTAATGAATTTAAACACAAGGCACATGTTCCCAGATGTACATAAATTCCAATTGCTTTTTGCTTTTTTCATCTCTTAATCCTTTGGATGGGAATGAGAAAATGTTTGGTCTCGCTCATTTTTTTGTTTGTTTGTTGGGTTTTGGGGCGGGGGGGGCGTGGGTTATGAGAGAGGGTCTCACTATACAGTTCAGACTGGCCTCATATAGCCCAGGCTGTAGCCGAACTCACATCAGTCCTCCTGCCTCAGCCTCCTGAGTGCTGAGATTGTAGGCATGCACCACCACACGCAGCTTGGGTCTCTTATTTAAGGAAGAACTTCCTTAATTGGGCCTTTTTAAAAAAAAGCTGATTGGGCCGGGGATTTAGCTCAGTGGTTTCACCGCCTGCTGCGCAAGTGGCAAGGACCCGAGTTCGATCCCCAGTACCAAAAAATAAAAAAAAAATAAAAAAAAGAGCTGATCATCAGAATTTCTAGAACTTCTTGCAGTAAAATTTTTTTTGTATTTCTTTTCTATCTACCTACACCAGTAAGTTGTCTCCTAGATCCCAGTAAGTTTGCTATGATTAAATGATGCTTTTAATTTCTGCATCTACACAGACCTTCTTTTTTGGTTTCTCCAAAATAGTATTCTCTTCTTCCAGTGTGTCATGACAATCCCGTTTAGCTTTTGTTTCTTCTTTATGGAATAAATGTGGGTGCTCAAAGCGTCCTCTACGAATAAAATGCTGGATCCGGGATTCCAATCCTTGGCATTTAGGCCGATCCATGAGGGGCCTATATTTGCGCATTTTCACTCCTTCTACAAAGGCACTGGTCTGCTTTATGACAGAGGGCTTAATGTTTCTCCATTCTATTGTTCCATCCATGTTTGGTCCTGTTTTACAGGGTAATACAACAGAGTCCAGTCCTTGCAGCATATTATACAACATGTGACTTTTGACAGTATGATTAGCCCATAGTTGCTGTAGGTGAGTAACATTGAACTCCTGAACCTCCTGATCATAGATCCACTTGATATTTTCAAACTTACAGTCATACAAGATTAGAGGAAATTCTACAGCCATACTAGAAAGAGAAAAAACAGAGGAGAATACATAACTACCTAATAGTTCTTAAAATCCTGAGATTTAGCTGGGTTAGAAGAGGAAGAGGAAGACCCACTGATGTCAATATTAAGTTATCTGATAGCTAAGCTTAACATTGAACAACTTTATATTTTTTTAAATGCAACAAACATGGGTCAGTTTGACCTAAGTTAGGTAAATATCAGTGGTAACAAATCTGGAAGTGAGTTGATATGTCTCTGTCACACTGCTATAAAATTAAAAACAGCTGACAGTAATTATCCAAATTTATTGGTGTTGTTTTCTTAGCTTGGGAATGAATTAACCACTTACCATTCCAATTATTTAAACACAGGATGACCAAAAATTGCATATTTTTCATTAGTTTTTATAAAATAACAGGAAATATAAAAAATGAGAATTTTATCACATTCAATAATTTTGTATATGGTATACTGTAGAACATTCTATACACAATGCAGTTTTAATATCTGGACAGTAGTATCTAGTGTGAATTTTTTGCATTCTCTTTCTTTGAACAACACACTTTATACTGTTGTTTTGGCCTTTCCTTTTTTTCTGTGGGTAGTATAATTTCTATAAAACATCTACCTATTAAATGTCTATCCCCTATTTTTCCATTATTTATGTATTAGATCTAATCTAAATTATAAATGACTTTCTAAACCCCCGTTTTGAACAAATAACAAACAAGTTCCATATTGTTTGATCCAGAAGGTGCATAAATGTTTTATGAGTATTTTTTCCTCACTTTTTGATTACAGAATAGCTTGTTAGATGTTGGTCAACTCTGTCAACACCACCCATAGAATTATAATCACTGACCACTGCTGAAATTTTTTTAGTTTTGTTTCCTATTTCAACTTCTACCATTTCTGTATTATGGATAGTTGACAATAAGGAGACTTTTTTTTTTGTCTTTCCATTTCATAACAGACTTTTCCTCATTGATATGCTAACATTTCTCCCTTTTTCAGTTTTTTTCTCTTGTAGCTCTTCAGGCACTTCCTTCTTAATTCAGTCTGTGTCCCAGATGTGTCTGTTTTGTATTGTAAAAGAATATCACTGAGTCTGGAGAAGTACAAAAATTATATCTAATGTACTCATGATAACTGTTTATAGAGTATAGCACAAAACTATAGGTTATTTTTCACAAATAAATAAGATTTAGTAAAATAACCAGAACTTACTAGATTTCACTAGAAACATCAAGGCTAATACAACATTCTAAATTTTTAAAATATGCAAAAAGTAGTTGATGTAAAACAAACAGACGTACAAGTGTATCTCACGCAAACAAGATCAAATGGTTCAAATGGTTGAAATGACACTTGCCCAAGGGATGCTTCGGATAGTCAGTACGTAAACAAATGCACTGCCCCAGTAACACTGGGGGTAAACTGTTCAGTAGTTAATGGTATATATCTATCTGACCTCAGCCTGTTCTCAAAAGAAAAAAATCTATTTTCTGCCTTTCCTTCCATTTTATAAGTGGGAAATTGGTCAAAAGTACAGTAATATATGGCTATTCCGTAATACAAAATAAGAAAGATTTAATATAGTTTGAATATTCATGTTTTAATTCACCAGAAGCTAGTTAACAACAGCTGTTAACATAAATTCAAAAATTTTTAAAAAAAGATGTGAGAATGACCTTTTAATTAAAGAGCCTGTCCAATACATTTCCTTACTAACATGGTAAAACAGTGAGAAAATTAGAAGATACCACTCCTTCCCACATACTCCTAACACTGCAAGTTAGATTAAAAGCTTCATGAAGTCAGAATCAGTGACTTTATAACTAAGTCATCTGATCAACCATGGGGGAGGGGGAAATATTTTGGTTTAGTTTGGTTAGTTTAACTTACCTATATTGAGGCTTCTGGGGATTTTTCTCTATATTCAGCAACTCATCAATAACTTCTGGCTTCTCCATTCCTTGGCCAATCAGAAAGAGGATAGCCATCATACATCGGACTTGATGATAAAGGAATGCCTGCCCAGTCACTTCAAATTGACATAACTGGAAAGGTTCTTGCCATCTCTCCTCACCCAGGCTCTGTCCCACTAGCTGTACTTGAGCAGACAGAATAGTCCTCTGAAAATTAATCACTCCATTCGCTACATCCATTTTACACAAGTTCCTGAAATCATGAGTGCCAACATACTTCTGAGCTGCATAATTCATCCTTACAATATCTAAATCAGCACAAGGGAAAAAATAGCGGTAAGTGCGCTCAAGACAGCTGAACCTAGCACTGAAACTAGATTCTACAGGGGCCCAGGCCAGTACACGGATGTCTGGAGGGAGTACCCGATTGAGAATGTGGGTATAACGGATCTCTTTGGCATCATCACTGACTTCATCTTTTAAATTAAGATCTTTTGAATCTTTGCCCCTTGGAAATTGAGACCGCAGGTCAAGAGAAATCACCTGTGGAATTAGGGAAAGATAATGAGTTTTAGACATTCAGTACAAATAATCTCAGTACTCAGTTTGTACACTTGGGTATCCTGGTACTGCTTGCTTTGAGAAATAGTATAGTGGTCCTTACCTGTCCAAAGGCACTAACTCCTTTGTCTGTTCGCCCACACCGGTGATAGTTGGATGTCTGTCTGCTTTCTATCAGTCGAGTCTTGGTCAGAGCCTCAAACAGTTTCTCTTCAATGGTATTGTCTGTGTTTTCCTGACTAGCAAAGCCCTGGTATCCCCAGCCCAGATAGGCTATTCTTAGAGCTACATGTCTTTGGCTGTGGGCACTGAAATCAAATGCACGCTGAGCTTTTCCAGATCCTGAAGAATTTTCTTTAACGTTTGGGTCTTTGATATTGTTGGATTGTTCTTTTTTAAGTCTTTGTACTTCCTGCTCCAGTTCTTGTACTCTTTTTAGAAGTTTCTCAATCTGGTTTCTGTCAGTGTCTGTTTCAGCCATGGTATGATAGCCCCAGGAATCAATGAATCATACAGTTCTTGAAAAGATAGCAAAATATAACAATTTCAGGCTAGTTGCTTTGGTAATATCAATGTCACGTTCAAATAGCATATGAGATTTGATGCTGAAGAGTGTAGACTTATGCTTGCGCAGTGATACAAACAATAGTTTATTATGGGTTGATCATCCACAAATAATACCCTTGTACATCTTATCTGACCAGTTCATAGGGGAAAAGAAAAAATATTTACCTATTGAGTTTCTTTTTATTATTTCTTTTAAAACTTTTGGGGAAATACCTGTAGATTTCATTTTACTAGTCTTCATTCAACAGATGATTGAGAACTCAAGTTGTAGCAGACATCCCTGCCCAGTACTAGCAGGCTATGAGTGGCACCTGCTTCTTGCTCTCCATAATTCAGCTATGTTATTTTATATCAGGAGTCAGACTAAAGCTCTATGTGATTCAAATGGGCATGTCAGATGGTTGACTAGACAAATATAGCCCCTCCCCCAATGGCTGCAACAGAAATCTAGGCCCTGGTCTGTGAAGTGGCAGGGCTCTGCTGAGTCATGCAGCTGAAGTCAGCGTGACCCCAATTAAAATCCTTTCCCCTGAATTACAGTTTCTCACTGACCTGATGGGTTGCTTGCTAACTGCACCCAGTCGCAGTGCCGGTTTGTTCTATCCAAGCAAGATAAACAATGCTTACTCCCTAACAGCCCTGCCTGGTGCCATCATACGTCGGGTGTTTCACTACATAGTTTCAAAGCATAGCCAGATCCCTATTCCTTCCCACAATTGTATTCAATAAATATTGGATGTGCTTGGGGGCCTCTGTCTTTGCTGCCATTAGCAGCACTGATCATGTCCCAAGACTCAGCTTCACTCTAAGTCTAGTTTCCTGTCTTTATTCTTCCTGTCAATTTTTTTTTTTTGGTACCAGGGATCAAACTTGGGACCTTGCACTTTCGAGGCAAGTACTGGAACCACTGAGCTAAATCCCCGGCTCCTGTCTTTATTCTTTTGCCTTGTCCTGTAGTGGCTCACAGGAGGCCAGGACCCACAGCAGAGGTTCTGGCAATGTTCCCTATATCATATTACTGATATTTTCCTTATATTTCCTTTTGATTTCTCATTTGTTCAAATTTTCTAATCATGAGTTCTATGGGCTACTTATAAAACTACTGAGTTTCTACTGCTTTTCAGTATCAAACACTGTATGTATGACTGTCATCAAATATTCTATTTTAAAGGTGGTACAATAGAGGCTAGACTAACTGAAGAAATAAAACCAATGTTTATATTTCACATTGGAAGTAGAACCTGAAGACAAAGATTTTCTTATATTAAGAAGTTTTGATGGCAGAAAAAAGGTAATTAAGCATTATTTATCTTTTTAAGCCAAATTTAATGTATGTCCTGACAAGATTTTGTATGTTAATAGTTACAAAAGTTAGTCTGATGATGCAATTTAGATATCCATGTTATCCATTCCTAGTATACAGTATTTCAATAATCTGGGGGCAACTGTACCACATCCTTGAGATTAGAACAGTCCTAGGCAATCTGTTACTGATGATTACTTACAGAAGATATCTCCACACCTATTGTAAGGCTATGTTATCTAAGTCCAGGTAGTTCATTAAGTTTTGGGCCTTTTGATTTTTGTGTGTCTCGACTCTTATAATATTGGCATGGGAAAGGCTTTCTAAGTAAGGGACTTCAGAATCTCAGAAACTGTAGAAAACCAAAAAATGTGAATACCTAAAAATAAAAACTCCTACCAGCAAAAAATAAAGTCAGAAGATAAACAGAGAATAATAATGATGGCAAATGGCTAATTATATAAACGTATATGTATATTTCATGAATATATAATCAGTTTTTAACAAAAACATCAGTAAGAGAAAAAGCCCAACAACCTGAGAGGTATATGGGCTAGATCAACCATTTCACAAAAGAGGAAAAAGCTTACAAATAAAAAGATGTCAGCTTTACTCGAGTTAAATAAGTAGAAAGTATATAAGAACTTTTTCACTACTGACTGCAAAGATGAGAACATTTGATAGTACAGCACTTTGGAGAGAGGAGAGAACTAAGCTCTATTTATATATTATTGGTACAACTTTATAGGTAAGCATTTTAGCAACAGCTATCAAACTGAACATGCACACACCTTCTGACCCATCTATTCCATGTCCAGAAATTTAATCTACATAGTATGCTTGCATAAATACATAAAAACTTGTAAGATCTTCGTTCGTTTTTAACAAGTGACTATTAACCTAAATTATGTCAGTAAGGAACTGGCTGAATAAATTATGGTATATCCACTCACTGGAATTTGATGCAACTTTAAACAATATGATGTAAGTCTACATGTGCTGGTATAGCTGGGTCACCATGATTAACTCAAAGGTTCAGAAGAGTTTTATACTTAAACTCTTTGTACATGTGAATATGGAAAATTACAGGGAAATCACATGAAACTGCCTTTGAGATTGAAACTTGGTCAGGGAGGAGAAATCTTTGCGTAAAATAGTAGGGACACTTAAGAGAGTGAGCAACAGATTCTGAACTTAAACCCAGAAATTAACACTGGCTGTTTGGGTAGTTGATTTGAGTTTAACAGTTACTTCTGGGGTAGGCTACTAGAATGAGCAGATTTATCTTGGCACGTGAAGATGTGTTAAAATTATTGAAGCACAGGGAGTATATGCATGCCTAAATATATATGTGTAAGTATGCTGGCACAGTGATGCTTTTTTGATGGTGGTTTAGGTTAAAGTCACACTTATGGTTAAAAGCAAGGACTCAGTCTGAAATCAGACTGCCCGAGTTTAGAATCCAGCTCTTCTACTTACCATCTGTAACTCTGGACAAGATAATAACTTCTCTGTGCCTCGTGTTACTCATCTGTAGAAAGGAACTAATCTCACAGTTGTGATGATTACATGACTTAATAAATGTTAAGCACATAGAATAATGTCAGGTACATAAAGTACCCTCTAAACACTTTACATAATATATACATAATACTAAGTAGCCTATCCCATACCCTGTAGTCTTAGGCTTTTATTATACCAGAACTCATCTGTCTTATCATAGGAGCTACTAAATACAAAAAGACAATAAAAAGTGGGAGTGGAAATAAAGCAGGTAATGGATTGTACAGAGCTGAGTTAATGACCCTCTTAAACTGTCCCAATACTACCCTATACTCATCTGTTATACTTATTGAGTAATAATTACTTTAGTCATTCTTATACCACTTGACTCTTTAATTGAAACAAAGAATGAGCAGTTTGTGAGCTAGAAATTTATCAGAAAACTGACCAATGTTATCTCTTGCAGACAGTCTTATAGTGTTGGGGAAGCAATGGAGCAACTCACAGGACCTGATAGACAAAAATGGACCAATATGGATCCAGAAGAAAGAATGTTAGCAGCTGCCACAGCTTTTGCTCGTATCTGTGCAGGGCAGGGTGAGGGAGACCTAAGCAGAGAAACCCAATCTATCCAGTATGATCCCTACAGTAAAGCTTCAGTAGCCCCAGGGAAGCAACCTGCTCTTCCTGTGCAACTGCAGTACCCACATGTAGAAAGTCCTGTCACTTCGAAAACAGTCTCAGAGGCCTCTCAAAGACTCCGAAAGCCAGTGATGAAGAGAAAGGTGCTTCGTAGAAAGCCAGACGGGAAAGTATTAGTGACAGATGAGTCAATTATCAGTGAATCAGAATGTGACACAGAAAGTGATACAGATCTCTGGGACTTAAAACAAAGGATGATGAATCTGCAGTTCCAGGAAGATAGGGAGTCCCCAGTGGATATTTCACAAAAATTTAATCAGCCACATGAATACCAAGGAATTTCACAAGATCAGTTCATTGGCTATCTACAAAGAGAGGGAATGGGCCCTCCCGCTTATGAACAAGACCTGATTGTTGCCAGCAGACCCAAGTCCTTTATTCTCCCAAGGCTGGACCAGTTAAGCCGAAATCGAGGCAAGATAGACCGGGTAGCTCGATATTTTGAATACAAAAAGGACTGGGACTCCATGCGGCTGCCTGGTGAAGATCATAGGAAGGAGGTACGGTGGGGTATCCGAGAAAGGTTTCTTTCCCGAGCAGAACCCCAGTCCAAGCCTCAACACGTATATGTTCCAAACAATTACATAGTGCCAACTGAGAAAAAAAGATATGCCATTCGTTGGGGTGTTCGCTGTGACCTTGCAAACGGTGACATGCCCAGGAAGCTTCCCTTCCCTCTTTCTCCTTCTTAAGATTTTTTTAACCTGTCTCTCCTCCTACAGAATTGTTTAAGATATCCTGTTTCTTTATCTGGTTCCTTTTAAACAGAAACACTCACCATTAGTGTTCCCCTGCTGTGTATCATATAGCTGTCAGACACTACTTAACTTCCAAATTACGACTCTCAAATACAGAAATTACAAGCAAAATCATGCCAGAGAGATAAAAACCTATATGGTCTTTGTATTTTGTCAAATTAGTAAACACCATTTGTGTTTGAAAGCCTTTTTACCTTGGGTCAATGTAAGCTACTGTGTTTTAGTGTGTTTTAAAATTGGCGAGCATTAAGCTTATCTATTAAAGAATTTTGGAAACTCATGAGTTTGAATCTTATTTTTAGCAAATGCATCCCAAAGTAAGATGATCTCAAACCTAGACCATGATTCTGCCTCTGGTCATACTCTCCATTGCATTCTCATTATCTAATGAGCCAAAGGGAAGGTACAAAAACCTTTTCCATAAAGTCCTAAAAGAAAGATAATGGCATAGATTTCCATTACCGAAGTAGTAAAATGCTTTTTAATATGTGTCTCAAAATAACTTGTAACACAGGATTCTAATCCAAGTTTTGTTTCAGAGATAGTTTAGTAATATACTCCAGTTGTCAACTGTACTTTCTAGAGTTTGCTACAGATTTTCTTTGGAATTATGCCTATCACACTTGAAGGTTATTCCTGCCCTACAACATAATTTCAGAATACTAACATCTGGAATCATACAAACATAAATACCAAAATTAATCCAGACTGTTGCAGAGCAAAATACTAATTCTGATCAGCTTACTCTGCAACTTATATTCTTGATAGTTCTAATTTGAGGAATATCTAAAATTGAAATCATCAGTTTTAACTGAAGCCTGCAATGGGGACTGCAAAAATTACTTTTTAAAAAAAGTGTGGATGGGCTAGGGGTTTAGTGGCTCCTGTGCCTGCCTCAAAAAGTGTGGAACATGAATGACCATTACTATCTGCTAAAATACATACTGTATATTTGAGTCTACATAATACACCCAGTTTGTTAGGCATTTATCAGAAAGAAGTAATCAGTGACTCAGATAACATGCAGGATATATTTGCTTCAGATACGTAAAAGTTGCAACCTGACCCAACAGTGGATGTCTCCTTAAAAGTAAAATGCCATGGAAACTAATGTGGAAAGATGCAAAGTAAGCAATGTAAACAGACTGTAAACCTTATACTTAGGCAAACAGCACAGGGAAAAATTAAAACTTGACCCTGGGTAATTTTTTTACAACTCAGTTTTTCAAAATTAAAAGTCACATATTTTTTTTTACAGTAAGTGAATTTATCTTCTTTAGGTCTTAAAGTTCAAATTACAAAAATCGGAAAGTTGCCAAAGTTATCCTAGTTTAACCCCCTTTTTAGCTGAAGAATTAGGCCAGAGAGCAAAGTTGGGAGTCAAATTTTCGGTAAAAAGAACTTAAGGCCAAGACCCAGAGCAGTGCTTTCTCCAGCACACCATGCTTTTCTAAGAGGGGCGGTAGTTTCCAGACGGACACAAGGGACAGAGGAGGCGACAAATTGCCACAAAGGGGGAAATTGTGTGCAGTATTTAACTATAAAACAGCATCACCAAGGCTGGGGATTTAGCTCAGTGGTTTTGCCGCCTGCCTTGCAAGCACAAGGTCCCGAGTTCGAGCCCCGGTACCAAAAAGATCACCACCAGATGCTTAACACCTTTTGAAGTTTAAAAAATAGTAGTCAATCTCAAAAATAAGGAACGAGTGGAATGGCATCAATAGCATTCCTCATGATAAAGGATTAAGAGAGACATTAACCATTATGTATAGGTACACATTCCCTATGATGAATGTGGTCATTATGTATATCTAAAATGTACCAATAAAATTAACAAAAAAGAGACACTATGATCACTATATTGAAAAAGTAATTACGGCGTGTAAAGCAATCCCCCAAACCTGAAAATTGCTACACCTCCTCCCCCTCCCGCAGACTACTGGGCTCCCGATTTCAACTTTTTAGTTTTTTGAGCACACAATTCTTGTGCAGCAGAGATTTTACTCCAGTCCATGGACCCCCCCTAAGCTGCTGAGTTGAATTAAGACCCTACTGATGCGACTTTCTTCCAGAAGTACCGACCACAAAAGAAAAACGGTCTTATGCAGGTCTCACTTCCATACACCAGCACTTTCCTGAAACGAAGACCAAAGTAAGGAAAGGGAGGGTCCGGGGAAATAATCCTTCAGCAACAAATCTACCTGCACATTGTTAGCGAGAACCACATTTACCTTCGGAACGCTGGCTTCGCCGCCTTCCGCTAAGCAGGAAGTTGTTGCTGGCGCTCGCGCTCGAGAGGCCTCACGGGAGGTGCCGCACGCGGTTGTGGGAAATGTAGTTCCGAGGAAGGGGTGCAGGCTTGAAACCGAATCTGCCGCTCCGAGGGTCTGCAGGACAGGCACCGGTTTCTGGGCAGGACCTGGAGCCTGTGATAGTACAAAGACAGAAAGAAAATGTCTAGTGCTGTGCTAAAATAATAAATAGAAAAGAGCTAACTTTCAAATGTCTGTTAAGCTTACAGCAAAATTAGAAGACTGAAGGTTCTGGCCCGATTTTGTACCTAAATAGTAAAAAGTAACCATTGAGACAAAAACGTTTACTATTAGAATTCAAAAGTAAAGGCTAAAAAAGAAATGTTATGCCCTTAAAACAAAATACTGAAGAGCCCTGACTGACGAAACAGGATGGGGAATGTTGCTTCAGCACCACGGAGAGAGAATTACAACAGTTAGTGGGGTTTTGTGATTTGCTTCCCAATTCCAGAGATGCTGACTCAATTCTCAAAATTCTAGTTAGGAAAGAGGAAAAAATCTGAGTCTTTCTGACCAAATTTAGCAGTCATCGGTACCAGGGAGCTATCTTGGATTGTGCAAATACATGCAGGGAGTAGATACTCTAAAAGAAAAGGTTTCCTCAGGGTTGCTTTAGCAAAGGACATCTCAGAATAAAAATTAAAACGAGCTATTGTGGGGAAATAGCACAGGTACCTAGGGCAAAAACAGTAGTTAACATTTGATCTCTGCCCTCTTTTCACAACTTGTGCATTCAGCGCTTTCTTCAGATCAAACCCAATTCGTCCCTCGACTTTCCTATACGACTCGCTAGTTTTTCTTACATCTTTAAACGTGCAGGCGGAAATGTAGGGGTAAAACACGGGCAGAGTGCCTGAAGCAGGCAGTGGGTTACAGCCTCGCCTCGGGTAGGAGATGTAGGACTCTCGGATCAGTAGAAATGCAGCTGCCAGCTAAGAGTCCCCAGCTGTGGGTTGACGATAGAGGTCAGCAGCTGGCCGGCCTTAACTACGACAGTGCCTCCTTCCCGTTTTCCAACACTTGGCGCGGATCCCAATCCTTGCGGATCAGTACAGCTCTTGGAATCCTCCAACTCGCATCTCTGGCGACCCCTCTCCGGTCTCCCCTATTCCCCGAGCCTCTGCTCGGCTGAGCCTGCGCGCCTGCGCGCGGCGCAGCGGGTGGTCGCCGCCTAAAGCCTGCCCCCGAAGCAAGCCCATTGGCCACGGAGTGGGGCTAGGCCCTGCCTCGAGCCTGGATGGAAGCACGTGCTGGGGGCGGGAGCAGCGATCGCAGCTATGGCGTCGTTACTTTGGGCTGGCGACGCCGGGGCAGCGGACGGCGAGCGGCTGAGCAGCCAAGTAACCGCCACGGAGCAGGGGAGGGCAAGGGGGTGGGAGCGACATCCAGGACTCGCAGAGGGAAATCTCCAGGGGAAAGGAGGGAAACCCCTGCTGCCGTTTGGAGTGGGGTGTCAAATAGTGGAGGGGAAGTGTGGGTTGGGTTTGGAGGAGGGCCACAGAAAACGACTGTTAGAAGACCTTCGGTTTGAATGGGGCTAAATGAAGACACCTGGAAATCAGGGGCAAGAAAGCAGCTGATACATAGTCCTGACTTGCCTCTGAGTGTTCTACTCCCCTAATTTAGAATTAATTCAGCTGGCCATCTTGAATTTACCAACATGCTTTCCTAGTCACCATCCTCTTGTCAGTGCTCAGACCACCCACCCCCAAACTGCCCATATTTAAACTAGAGGCCAAATAGGAGCTTCATGTGCAAAGACTACAGAACGTCTTCTCTGATATTAAATAATTCATACAGGAGACCTATTCTTGAAATGAATCCATTAATACCTGACATTGTAAAGGGGGGTCTTCTAACCTTTTGGGGGGTCTTCTCTAAACTACTTCCATGTTTTGTTGCAGAGGAGCAGGGGGCAGCTTGATGGCTTGCTTCCTAATATTGGTTAAAACTTGTGTCTTTCAATAGTTTTCAAATCTCATCCACCCCCGGAAGAACCTTCTGGGTACCACAGTCCCAAATATAGGTGAGTGTTGCTAAGGTAAAGCCCACTGGCCTCACTTAGTTAAAAAATCATTGCTGTCATCGAGTCCCTGCCAGCTGAAACACTTTTAACTAATTTAAGACCCTCCACTACCTTCTCAATCGTTTTTATCCATTCTGACCAGATGAATCTGTTGGTATACACTGTAGAGTTGGAAGAAAAACTGGAATAGTATACTCTACATTTCTGTTCAGCATTTATCTAAATTTATTGTTTCTCTTCTGTCCTTTTAGATGATTCTCTTAATAACCCTGAAGATGATGAAGATGATGTAGGTAGGAGATAAATTCATTTGCATATATCTACTAGCATTCTGTTTCAGTTGATCATCACTTTTACAATGTGAATGACTAATATCTTAGAAAAAAGCTTTGTTTCTGTTTTATTTATGAGGAGTGAATACCAGAAGAAATACTGAATCAGGAGAAGACATATTTCTTAAGAGGAAGTTGAAATGGGATATGCAGGGAGTGGATTAGGAATTTCCAGCTATGGAGAAAGAATTAGGTATGGTGGAGATAGCTGTTGGCTTGCTTTAGGTGAGAGGTTGGTGTAGTGATAGAGCATACGAAGCTAGTAGATCTTCAGGAAAGAAGGAATTCTCAGGGCTATGTCATTTTTTCTGGAACCTTTTTGATATGCAACCACTGAATGGTAGAGAGCAACTTACTAGATATCTTCAGGAGACTTGATGTCCTCCTTTTTAACTTTTGTTTTTTCTAGTGGATTTGGCAGCTAATTCACTCTTAAACAAATTAATCCATCAGTCCTTAGTAGAATCCAGTCACCTAGTGGAAGTCTTGCAAAAGGATCCCAGCTCTCCACTGTACTCAGTAAAAACATTTGAAGAGCTACGACTGTGAGTATTTTTAACTCTTTTAGTATGGGAAAATAGCAAAGCATGGCCCAGAATAAACTAATCTATTAATAATTTTTAAAACTGTCATGGTCTCATTTGTTTTCTAATACTCAGTATTTAAATGGATGTGCACATTTTGCATGCAATTAAAATATACATCAAAGGAAAATACTAGGATACTGTAGTTGCCCAGCAAATTGAGGACTTCTTTATTTTTTGCTTTTTGGGGCTTTTGTTGTTTTGTTTTTGAGACAGGGTCTCACTCTGTAGTCTAGGCCAGTTTCAAGCTTGCAATCCTCCTGACTTAGCCTCCCAAGTGTTGAGATTACAGGCAAGTCCCACCATATCAGGCAAGAAGTTTTGATAGTAAAGTATTTTAGTCTTACAGTAGAAAGGGGAATAGCTGAACCAGGTACACCATACTGCCACTGTCCATATCAGAATTCAGATATAGAGGCATTGATGGTCCTATAGACATCTTCTCCCATCCCCTTTGGTAACTTATAAGCCATTATTTTCCTAGTTATTTCAGATGTTGTTAAAATGAGTAACTTCCCCAAGTCATTTTGTACTCCCAGGGATTTATTAGCTGACATTAAGAAAAGTTACAAATATGTGCTACCAAACCAGCCCCATTTTGCCCACCATATACCCTGGGCCAGATGGGCCTGGTTTGGTACCATTGTGGCAAGTTAACCAGCAGACGAGTCCAGACAGACCTTTTGCCTGTCCCCTCTCAGCCTGTTAGTAGTATGGAGAGCCTGTGGACAAGTCTGAACCAGTGCTGAGCTACTTATCCCAGGACTTTCCCCAGCTTTAGAAACAATTTCTGGGTCTTAAAGATCACATATTCAATGAGTACCTACAGTGCAAGTGATCAGATTCTTATTTACCCTTCCCTCCAGATGCCCTGGTTCAGTAACAGTGGTAAAAATCCAAAATCCTAGTGCCCAGACATTTTCTATCTAAATGGTAGGAGAGGCCTACTTATGATTAAAGATTCATTGCCAGTCATCTGCAAGTTAATCTACCAATCAGGGACATCCAAGTGTGCATGTTCCTAAAGGTGAAAGTGTTCCAGCCAACTTGCTTTGTCCTTGTTGTAGCATTTTTGCATAAGACTCCAGGAAAGATACATTTTAAAATACTGCCTCAGGAGGATAAGGTAATATATCAATGAATGTCAGAGAAGTGGTGAAAGAAACAGCTCAATAAAATGTCTTTTCTGGAAATTGCTATTAAAACATCGAAGTTGTTCATGAAAAAGACCTAAACAATAAATGTCACTCAGGTGTCTCTCCTCCTGTGGAAAACATAACTCCTGACAAACCAATATACTCCTTTGATCAGATTGATTTTTCCTTTTTTCTTTCCTTTGCTCAATAGAAAGTCCAACCTGTTCTTAGCTGAGACTGATAGCATAGCTTCTTGTCTGAGTAGAAACATGATGTATATGAATGAGAGCTGAAGTTTAAAGGACATAATTCTAAATATTACCTTTTTTGAGACAGGGTCTTGCTTTGTATTCTAGGCTAGCCTTAAATTCACTATACAGCCCAGGCTGGCCTTGAACTCACAACAGTCCTCCTGCCTTAGCCACCCAACTACTGGGATCTAAATATTACCTTTTAAAGTCAGTTGCAAAGTGGTTTAATTTAGAAATGTACCTTTCAAGTATATACTGTATTTCTGAGGCACTGACCAACCATAGACTTTATATTTGATCTTATATATTTTTAATTTTCTTTTTCTTTCTTTCGATTTTGACAGAAAGGAAGAGATACTAAAAGGGATCTATGCAATGGGATTTAACAGGCCATCCAAAATCCAAGAGATGGCTCTTCCTATGATGCTGGCACATCCGTGAGTTTCAAGGGCAGTGGTATTCCAATGGGGTTATTTAGCTCACTCAATTCAGTTTCTTCCCCGGCTTTTGTATTCAGTTTATGCCAAGTGGCCTCCTCTTTTTTGCAGACCCCAGAACCTCATAGCACAGAGCCAGTCTGGAACGGGGAAAACAGCCGCCTTTGTTTTGGCAATGCTAAGCAGAGTGAATGCCTTGGACATGTTTCCACAGGTAAGGAAGGGCTGCAGGAGAGGGGGATCCTTGCACTGTCAATGATGTTTCGGTAATGGGTGATGTTACTGCAAGTATATATTTAAAGATGAAAGTATATGATTAATACACTGATGTAATGATGTATAGAATAGGCATTCTTTCATAAACTTATAGAGTACTAGGCAGCTGTGTTGAACAGTGATGGAGGACACAGGCTTTCAATCCTAGCTTCTCCACTGACCAACTAGCTCAGTTTCTTAGGCAAGTTAATAAATCTGTTTCTTGTCTTTCAAGATAGCAGCTGCAGAGGCATGGATCATAGTTCACTCTTGAGTTCTAGCACACAGCACAGGGCCTAGGCTGTAGAGAACACTTATTAAACATTGAATAGATGAATGAATGAATGAACGAATGAACGAACAAACACATGAATGCTTTTGTCATAGGGTCATCATGTGGATTCAGTGAAACAACATACATTTTAAGCACTGTGCTTGGCATAAAGTAAGCCTGCAGTAATGATGCCTCTTTAGTTGTAGAGCCAGAACATCCTCCGGTCCACCACTGATTTAGCAGAGAAGGGAGCTGACACCTGGAGAGAGAAATATCTTTCTTGATATTACTAATTAAGGACACCCAGCTCACCACTCTCCTAGCCTAGTTTCCACTCAAAAAAAGTATCTAGTAGTGTTTCCTTCTTTGTCCAAAGGGCACACACTGACTCCTTTGACAAGCTGAGTTCTCTTGTGTACTAAATGCAGTGGAGAACACAAGGGCTTTCTCAGCAAGGTAAGCTGTAGATGTCAATGACTAACACCAACCACTGGAAGCCTTATACATTTTTAACAAGGCCAATAAAATGTGTTTGATGTTTGATATTAATCAAAATTCAGGATAATCTGTGCTTGAGCACATGTCAAGAAATGTGTATAGAGACTATTTTTTTTAGCACTTTGGCTATATTTCCTTCTCTATCAAAGATATCTAATTGAAGCACACAACTGCATTAGATATCACTATGTTCTTCCATCACAGTGTCTTCATTCATCAACAGCCACCATTTTTAGGGGAGATAGAATAACAAATGAAAAGTTTGGTGGGATATATATGCACATATGCATTGCATTGATGGGTTAGTGTTCTAAAAACAGGCAGACTCTTAAGGGCAGGCAAGAAGTGATGGGAATCAAGCATAAACTATGATGTGTCTCACTTCCCTCTCTCACTGGTTCCCAGCCTCCCTGAATTCTGTTCTTCCCCCACCAAAGAGGGTGACCAGTAGCTTGTGTTTCTAAATAACCTTCCAGAGAGGAATATATAAAAGATAGTTATTTCTCCATTTCACATAAAGAAGTGCCTCCTCATACTCAGAATTTACCTCGGATCTCCGGGGATTTAGCTCAGAGGCACCGCGCCTGCCTTGCAAGCACAAGGTCTTGAGGTTGATCCCCAGTATTGTAAAAAAAAAAGAATTTACCTCAGATCTATCAACTGTTAAATTGTCTCCAATTTAAAATATTTATATGTTTAGCATTGTTGACCATTAAAGAAATGCAAATTAAAACAACACTGAGATTCCACCTTACTCCAGTAATAATGCTTATAATCAAGGACTCAAAAATGGAAAATGCTTGCAAGGTTGTGGGGGAAAAGGAACTCTTCTACGTTGTTGATGGGAATGTAAACTAGTACAACCACTTGGAAATCAGTATGGAGATTCCTCAAAAAAGTAAAAATAGAAATTCCATTTGACCCAGCTCTCTTGAAGACATCTCTTCTGGATATCATCCAGAAAGAGCTAGAGTCATCATACTTCAGTGACATATGCATATCCTTGTTTGTAAGAGCACAATTCACAGTAGCTGAGTCATGGAAGAGGCCTATATGCCCATCAACATATGAACGGATAAACAAAATGTGATATATATACATATGCAGTGAAGTACTACTCAGCCATAAAGAAGAATAGATTTGAATCATTTGTAGGAAAATGGATAGATCTGGACATTGTAATACTAAGTGAAGGGCCAAGGATATAGCTCAGTGGCATCGCGCCTGCCTGGCAAGCGCAAAGTCCAGAGTTTGATTCCTGGTACCGAAAAAAACTAAGTGAAATAAGTTAGACACAGAAGGCTAAGTATCACATGGTTTGTCTAATATAAGAAACCAAAAATAGGGCCAGGGATTTAGCTCAGTGGTTTCGCCGCCTGCTGAGCAAGCGCAAGGACCAAAAAACGAGCCCCAGTACAAAGGACCAAAAAAAAAAAAAAAAAAGAAACCAAAAATATAAATAAAGAGCAAAATAAAAGCCATATTAAGAAACAGGGAGGTAGACTGTAGAGATCTGGGAAAGGAGGGAGCAGGCAGTGCAAGACGGAAATAAAAATGATCAAGATGTTATATGTATTTGTTTCCCCCCACTGATTACTGAATGTAATCAGTATGTATCACAAATATATACCAATAGAAGTTTAATAAAACATTTCACCAAAATCTCCAATGTCATTTCTGTGCCTCTTCTCTCTTCCCCCTTGCACAGTGCCTCTGTTTGGCTCCTACCTATGAACTGGCTCTGCAGACTGGCCATGTGGTGGAACAGATGGGAAAATTCTGTATGAATGTTAATGTGATGTACGCCATTCGAGGAAATCACAGTAGGTACCAGGAAGCCAGTCCTGGCTGATTTTCCAAACTGGCTTCACTACCAACAAGGACGTTATACTTTTCTGTTTTCTCATCTCTAATATGGGGGAAATAATAGCACCTGTATCACTGAGTTGTTATTAGAATTAAATGAGATGATATAATGTGTTAGGCATAATACCTGGAAAATATTAAGGACACAGTACATTGCTAACTTAACAGCAGGTGCCTCTATATTCTTTGAGACTCTGTTATGGAGGACAACTTACTTTTAGATTTTTTTCATTAAAAGTATGTGCCTATCATGAAAAAGACATTAAAAAGATAGATTAAAATGTAAAAGTCAAAGTTGTTCTTGCCCTCCAAAAAACCTATCCCAAAAATAAGTACAGTATTGTTATCAGGCAGGTATCTTCTTTTTACTTTTTTTTTTTTTTTAGCTCATACAAGCTCATATAAGTGCACATAAATATATTTGTTTCATTGTTTATAAAAAATGGGAGCACTGTTTTCACACTGTTCATTCTTTAGCTGACCATATCCCATAATTTATTTAGTGTAACAGCATAACTTATTGATGGACATTTTGGTTGTTTTTCATTTGGAGAAGTTTTCTCATTTTTACATAGGATTTCTGTAAGACAGTGAAACTGCTGCAGTGTGACTTTTTGTTTGTTTGGTTGGTTTTTTGAGATAGGATCTTGCCGCATTGCCCAGGCTGGTCTTGAACTTGGGCACTCAAGTGATCCTGCTGCTTCAGCTTCCTGAGTAGCTGGAACAGGCTGGTTTTTTTAATGGCCATGGGGAAAAAGTCAAATTTGCAACAGTATTATAACTATAAACCTAGAAACTCAGAAACTTATCCTAAAACTCAGCAAAATCGAAACCCCTTGTGACCCTCAGGGTTTGCACTTGGATAATCACCATGAGCTATGGTTTTGCTGCTGAGCTCTGTGTCTCATGGCCCTGACATGTGACCCATTATGTTAAAGTGAAGCTGTGCACATCTGAAGGAGCACTCCAAACCTTTTCTCCCTAGTTCCCAGAGGAACCGAAGTCACCAAACAGATTGTAATTGGCACCCCCGGGACCGTCCTTGATTGGTGTTTCAAACGCAAACTGATCGATCTGACTAAGATTCGTGTGTTTGTCCTGGATGAGGCAGATGTGATGATGGATACCCAGGGCTTCTCGGACCAGAGTATTCGGATTCAGAGGTAACCCACAAATTCATCCTTTCTCTCCAGGTCTTCTGTCCACATGAGAATTGCATCTGTCTGTGGCTCCTAGTTGTTTTTATTGCTTAACTCCTCACCACCCTCCCCTCTAAAATGAATTTGGGTTTACATTATTTCACCAGCTCAGCTTATAACCTTGCCTCTCTGCTTTACTTTTTAAATTTTTATTGGCATATGTTTGCAACGCACAGAGATTATATTCAGTTTGGGGTTTGAAACATACACATATCACATCTCATTTTTATTCCCCCCTACCCACCTCTCTACCTCCTTCCCCAGATTCCCTTCCCATCTCTAGAGTCTACCATGCAATATTTAACTTTCCGTGTCTAACTTATTTCACTTAGTATTATGGTGTCAAGATCCATCCATTTTCCTACAAATGATTCAAATTTATCCTTTATGACTAGTACTCCGTTGTGTATGTATACCACATTTTCTTTATCCATTCATCTGTTGCTGGGCATATAGGTCACTTCCATGATTTATCTATTGTGAATTGAGCTGCACATAGGTATGCAAGTATCACTGTAATATGATGTCTTTATCTCTTTCTGGAAGATAACCAGAAGAGGTATTGCTGGGTCAGATGGAATTTCTAGTTTTAGCTTTTTGAGGAATCTCCATACTGATTTCTAAAGTGGTTCTACTAGTTTACATTCCTACCAACAATGTAGAAGGGTTCCTTTCTCCTTCTGTTTTACTTTTCCAACACAGGCTTAAAGATGAAATCTAAATACTAAGACTACACCAACTTTTCCAATAATGTCCTGTATTCTGAGCAAAATCCCAAAGAGGGTCTCTAGAGAATATGATAGCTAATTGGTTAGAATAGAGAACACCTGGGTAGTCTAGTCCTGACTTTGCCTCTAATTTATAAATCCTAGTATATTTTCCTAGGCCTATCAGGATTACCTGAAGGGTTTGCCATTACAGATTACAAGGCCTATAACCTCGATTCACTGAGCCAGAATTTTTGGTGGAAGGGTTAGGAATCTGTAGCACTTGTTTTTAAGTTAGGTATTATACGCTTAGTGTGAAGTTCAAATAGTATTGAGAAACTTGTAATGAAAAAGATAATCGCCTGCCCCAAGCCCAAGAGGACACCTCTTTCCTGGAATTAACCTTCATACTTTTAAATAATGTGTTCATGTTGCTATTTCCTGTACACAGTCACTGTCTACAAAGAAGGGGCCCAAGTTCTTTTAACCAGCAACCATTGTCCCTCTACCACCTCTTCTGTCACCTCTTTGATTATATCCTGCAGATCTGGTTACATTAACAGTGTTGACATTATTTTGACACTATAAATACTGTTCACTTCTGAGCCAAGCAGTATATTATTATAATTACGGGGTTTTTGTACAACTTTCCCCCTAGAATTGATCATTTCCTTTTAAAAAAAAAAAAAGAATATCACTGTGTAAGAACTTTTAACTTTTTTTTCTAGTTATTCCATCAAAACTGCTGTCTGTGGTATCTCCACATCACAAAATACATTTTTTAATCCATCGATTTCTGGTTTTTTTCTGAGAATCTCCCAAGTTCTCTCTCCCTCCAGCTTCAATCTGGATTGATGATTCCATAGCCCTGTTGCACAGTTCTTGTCATGGGTTTTTCTTTTGCTTATTTACAGTTTGAAGTCTTCCATTTCCTGGGTCTTTTTTCTTGAGTGACTTCCTCAACATGCTGAAGTATGCTTTCTAGTGTCTTTAAAAAAAAAAAAAAAAAAAAGGAATGTGTAAGAGGTTCGGGTTTTTTTGTTTGTGTTTTGTTTTTCCGGTACAGGGGGTCGAACTCAGGACCTTGTGCTTGAGAGGCAGGTGCGACGCCACTGAGCTAAATCCCCGGCCCCAGAGGTTCGTTTTTTTAGCCCTTAAATGAGCTGTTATCTACATTTTTGGGGTTTTTTGTTTTGTTGGTACCAGGGATTGAACTTGGGACCTTGCGCTTTTGCGGCAGGCGCCAGAACCACTGAGCTAAATCCCTGGCAATGAGCTCTTGAATGTCTGAAAATGTTTTCAGTGCCTGTGTAGGTTTGATATTTTGATTGATAGTTTAGCTGGATAGGAATCTAATGTTGAGAAATCATTCTCCCTCTAATTTCAGATGCAGTATTGAAAACAGAGTTTTTAAAAATAACTTTAATTAATATCCTCAGCTTCCTATGATGATGCTGATCCTGATTTCCAAGCTTTTGTATGTAACCTGGTTTGGTTTGGTTTGGTTTGGTTTGGTTTTTCTCTGTCTCTCTAGAAGTTTTGGGACTCTTCTGCCTCTGAAGTATTCTGAAATTTCTCAGTGATGTACTTTAGTTCTTTCCTTATCCTAGACATGTAGTGTGCCCTTTCCTTTTCAGAATTTGTACCTACCAGTCTGGGAATTTTGGGGGGGCCGGGGCCTAAAATGACCAAACTTTTTAGAGAGCTGATGCAGACACAATCATGGCACACACAGTATACAACATGATACAGACGTGTTGTAAAATGATTACCACAGTCAGGCTAATTAACATAGACATTACTTCACATAGTTACTGCTGGGGTTGGGTAAGAATATTTAAGTTCTTTTAGACTTGTTCAAATTAGTTTCTAGCTCTCTAGAAATGGCCATCCACTCAGTCTACAGGTTTTTTTGGGTAGACCAGTTATTTATCATTCAGATCTCGTGTCCATAAATTCATCACATAGACTATTAATGTCTACAATGTCCACAAGTTTTAAACCCTCTGAAGTACATTAAGCATTATCCTAAGTTAAACTGTCTTTCTCAAGGAAAATGTTTATAAAGCACAGAGATGATTTAACCTTTGAAATTAAGGATGGATTCCAAATAAATTACATTTTTGGTAAACAGATAAGAAAGTCCTGTTTAACTTTGCGCCCTTTTCTGGTGACATTTTTTGAGCTCTACAGCAGTCTTAATTCTTTTAAAATACATGAGTACTTTTCTTGTCATTGAGTTCTTGTCACATAAGTTTCCTGCCACGTGAGTCACCCCTATACATAATACCAGACAGCTCAGGTGCAGTCAGTCCACTCTTTTCTCTAGATTTCGTTTTCTAGGTCCTCTTCAGAGGTCTTCAAACAGTTTTAGAAGAACAGCCTGTCATATCTGTTTAATGGCAATCCTTTTCTCTGTTCTCAGCTTCGGTGTATTCCCAGATTGAAAGACATTCCTTCCACCCTACACTTTGAAAATATGATGCTACAGCAGACCAATATTGTAAATCTTTTTAAAGTGATAGTCATCTAAGGAGCTCTCTCCAGTTCTGTATAGTTAAAAGCTTCCTGATTTTGCAAGAGTTAAGAGACTAAACAGTAGACAAAAACTTTGATAATAAAGGTCCCAGCATCACAGCTGAGCAGATTATACCCATTTTTTAAATGCTGTGTATAAAAAGTGCAGGACATTTAGCTGGTAAGACCTCTTCATTTGCCCTGATAAGAAGTTTATTGACTGATCCAAATGTGTCAGAATTTACATTTACACTGTTTACTTCATATGTAGATGGTTGAGTAAAGGCTAGTTTGTATTTGTGTATGATATGAGCAATCTTTTGTTTTATATTTTCTGTGTTAAAACTTCATAGAAGTCAAGATGTTTTGAAATTTCATTTTTAAAATCAAAATATCTTAAGGGCTGGAAGGGATTTTTTTTCATTTCTATGATTTGACGCAGCACTTGATAAACTTTCAAAAGCATGGCCATAGGTAAGACCTGATAGAATCAGCTTACACTAGAGGAGGTGAGACATCTATTGTCAGCATCTCCCCATTTGTTCACTCTTAGGACATTTTTCTTAGGTTGTTTAAACCAGGAAGGGGAACTCAGTTTCATAGAGATATCAGGGAAACAATACAATAACGTATGCTTATTTGGGTGGGATGGCCAACCTAATTCAGGGTCTACTGCTTTAAACTGGGCACTTGTGTCTTTTGCGGAAGCCAGATTTCAAAGCACTGCCAGTCTCACTATGCTTTTCACATCCCCTCGTCCACCCTGCCCACTTCCAAGTTCTTCCTTCAAATGGTGCATTGTAGCCCAGGAATGTAGCTCAGTGGTGCAGCATTTGCCTGGCAAGCGCAAGTCCCTGAGTTCGATTCCCAGTACAAAAAAAGAAAACCAAATGGTGCATTATGCTCTATTTTCATTATTTACCTTTAGTCCAGTTGTGTTTCTCCTTTTATTTGTCATTAAAATAGCACGTTTAGCTTTGTTTTTCTCTGGATCATACTGGTGTTCTATGGTTATTTCTTTTCCATAGCTCCTTTTCTTTATTATGGATACAATATCCACTCTTGTCTCTCAGAAGATATTTAATTACAGTGTTTTAGTTTTTTCTGTTTTCAGTGTTTTGTCTGAATTATCCAGGTTTCCTGTTGTTTGTTTGCCACATCTCTATCTTTCACAGAAGATCTTTCCCCATCGTATCTGGTGATACCTTACTAACTAACCTTGCATAATCTAAGATGAAGGACCAAAATTCTCGTTGACATCTCTGTGTACTTGGCTGGGATTTTCAACTTTAGGTTGGGAGATTTGTCATCTAAAGGTATTTACGTCTCTAATCTTCTTCCTGGGAAATAGCCTGCTGGTCCTGGCCTCCTGGAAGCAGGAGGGAGCTAGCTGAGAAGAGTCTACCATTCAGCATGCCCATTTTCCCTTGATCCTCTCCTTTCAGCTGTATGCTTTACCCCTACCTTCCACTGAGGCTGGTATCCCCAAGTCTGGAATTTCTGCACAGAGTAAACATCTTACCTTTTCTTAGTATGTGCTTAGCTGCCTGACATAGGCAAATCCAACTGCTTCTCATTCATATTTTTAGCCAGACTTCCTATTTCAATTAATTTTGGCCACAGATCAAGGGAGATTCCCTTCTTGCCATTCTTTTACCAACAAGTTGGTTTGTTTATATATTTATAACAGCAAGTAAAAGATTCAGAATTCTAGGAAAGATTCAGTAGTCACAAAGAAAGTTTCTTGTATTTTTTTTACTCAAGAGACTATTAAGCAATAATTAGAGCATTTATGTTGGTTGATGAGTCATCTGTTGTTCAGTTTTTCTTTCTTTTGCTCAGAAAATATTAAATGATTCTACTGAAATATGCAAGCCAGATGTATGATTTAAAAATTTTTAATGGCCACTTTAAAAAAGAAATAGGTGAAATTATATTTTACAAGTTCTAAAAAAATTATTTCAATAATCAATAGAAAAATTTTTGAGATATTTTACATTCTTTTTCCCATTAAGCCTTCAAAATCCAATATGTTCTTCAAAAGAGACTGTGATTTTTTTTCTTATGTTAATTTGTATAAATTTTCAGTTTAGAATAAAATGTCCAGACCTAGAGATAAAAGTCCTGTATCATTCTTCTCCAGATGAATGACTGGGACACAGCAAGTGGTTAGGATGCCCCTGCTTGTGAATGCAGAATTTTCCCAGTCTGTTTTTTAACTTTTTCAGTCCTCTCAGCCTAATTGTCCACCTCTGGAGCTTGTAAGTCCCAGACCTCTCAGGAGTCCGGAGGGAAAGTTGGATGCCATTTCACCAATTTTCCACTTGCTGACACTCATTTCCTAGCTCCATACACTTTCTCACACCCCCTTCCTTCAAAAATACATTGAAATGTCTCGTCCACCAATTATCTTCCCTTGTTCTCTGTATTTTCTTTGAATTAATACCTCTTCATAACCATGTTAACAGGAATGTAGAACATGTAGACAGTCTTAACTGTAGTTGACCAGAAGTCTGTCATATTGTGACTTTTAAAAGCTCCATGGATGATCCAGGTCCCAGCCTTATAAGTTGTGTTTTGGAATTACTAGACCATGTAATTTCTCCTGCTCCCTGTTAACACTAACTATTCTTCCAAGTATCCCGTCCTTGTCTCAAAAGATGAGATTTTTTTCTCTGATCTGTCTTGTCTTTTTTAAACAGTGGCATTTTTTGATTTGATTTTGATTTTTTGATGTGTGAATGAGCTCATGCAGTACTTGTGTTTCTGTGTCTGGCTTTTTTCACATAGCATAATGATCTGAAGTACCATCTATGTCTCAGAAAACAACAGGATTTTATTCTTTTTTATTTTTATGGCTGAATACTATTCCCTTGTATATACATACATACCACTTTTTCTTTATCCATTCATTAGTTGGTAGACGTCCCTTGGACATATTGATTTCATTTCCTTTGTATACACACCACCCAGGGGAGAGATTGCTAAAGCATATGATAGTTCTGTTTTTAATATTTTGAGGAACTCCTATACTGTTTTCCATAATGGCTGCACTAAAAATGTTGATAGCATAAGAGTTGATGGTAATATAATGGTTACTAAAGGCTGGGGAGTGTAGGGGAAGGGAGGATGGGAAAGTTTTATCAGTGAATTGCAGGTATCTGCGTTAGTATGTTTAAGTTACAGACGAATGGGAGCAAGAAGTTCTGGTGTGTTATTGCATGGATGGTAGGGTGACATTAAAATATATTTCAAAGGGCTAGAAAAAATATTTTGAAAGTTTTCACCACAAAACAATAATAAATGTTTAAGTACATAGATAAGTTTAATCTGACTTTTTTTTGTGGGGGGGGACAGGCTCTCACTATATAGTTCAGACTGGCCTCAAACTCTATACTACTGCCTCACCCTCCTGGGTGCTAGGATTATAAATGCACTGTGCCACCGTGCCCAGCTTAATCTGATTTAAACTTTCTATTACATATACATGTATTAAAGCATCACATGGTACCCCATTAGTTTTTATATTTTTACATGTCAGTTAAGAATAAATTTAATTTTTAAAGGCTGGCATAAAATGTATACAGAAGGATATGTAAATATCCTGTGTATTTCTGAATGAACTCTCACTAGAGTCCATGCCCATTCACAGCTCAGATCAAGGAATAGAATTTTATTTACCAGCACCCAAGAAGTCCCCTGAAGCCTCCTGCCTGTCATCAATCCCTCTCGGTTCCTGGGGATTAACCTCTCTTCTGACCACTAAGTCCATGGATTCATTTCTCCCTTTTTTGAACTTTATGTAAACTATCCTCATATTTATTATGGGCTTAGTGTACAGTTACAGCACTTCCTCTCTTCGCTCCCTTCTTATAGTTTCTCCCCATTCCAAATAAAGTTACTTGTAGCTGTTCTTCTTTCCTCCCAAGATGTATAATGTCTCCAGTTGAACGTCTCTATGTGAGGCTGTCACCACATAGAGAAGAAATTGGCATGAGAACCCACAGACTCTCTGGATGTATACCTAAACTGCTCCAAGTTCCCCCTTGCGTATGTGTTTCTCCGAGTTTTAATGAAACAAGAAGAGACACTATGATGGGCTGTGTGGAAGTGTCACTTGTCATTGCAGGCAGCACCTCCCACTCTGCAGGTGTGGGTGGAGCAGCTGCCGGCAGGGAGCCTGCAGTGCTTGAAGGACAGGGGGAGCCTGGCAGCTGGGTGATGGCCACCTTCCCTTCTCCCTTACAGAGCTTTGCCCTCCGAATGCCAGATGCTCCTCTTTTCAGCAACCTTTGAAGACTCTGTTTTGCAGTTTGCTGAGCGAATCATTCCTGACCCCAATGTTATCAAGTTACGAAAAGAGGAGCTGACCCTGAACAACATCCAACAGTATTATGTGTTGTGTGAGAACAAGAAAGACAAGTATCAAGCTCTGTGCAACATTTATGGTGGGATCACCATTGGCCAGGCCATCATCTTCTGCCAGGTAAACTTGCTAGATGTGTCTTCCTCATGCCCACATTTCCCAACAGGTGGAGGCTCAGGGACAGTAATATTATTAAGTGGCATAGAGCCAAGCACCAAGTTCAGCACTTGTTATACATTATCCAGTTTAATCTTCAGAAGAGCTCTGACTAGAATTGATTATATTTTATGGGTGAAGCTTAGAAAAGTTCAGATCTTCAGTATGATGCTACCTAGAGGTCCTTATTAAAGGACTGCTTGTAACACTTCCCTGTTTAGGTTGATACTTATTATAGATTTTACAGATACCCTTTATCAGATTAAGGATATTAAATACTATTAATGTCTCCATATGTTTATTTTCATGTTTCATGTTTCATCCGCTTTATTTTCTCACCTACCATGTGAACACACTAGGCTTTCTGAGCAGGGTCTCTTCTGCCTCATTCACCTCCATATCTGCTCCACTAGACTAGCACGTTCCAGTCATGTGGATGGCACTGAAAAAGCATATTTGTAGCATCAAAGAAAGCTCAGCTCTGCCACAGGGCAGCCATATGACCTTGGGCAAGTTACTTAACATTTTTTAGCTTTGAATTTTTTTTTTTGGTCCATTTTAAAGTTTTTTAAATAGTAGCTACCTCATTCGAGTGTTGCGAAAGCACATGCCTGGCACATACAAAACCCTCTTGGAGTGTCGTCATTTTCATGATTACATTATGTATCATTTTGTCATTAGAGCACCGTGAGAGCTAAGCATTTCCTAGGTGAGAAAGGCAAAGCTCTGGCTGTGTGGATGTGGCCCTCAGAAGCACAGGCGGCAGGAGAATCCATGCCACATTCTAAGGTCTCTCCAGGACTGAAGGCCGTGGAGCCAGAACTCCTCTGCACCCCAGTCCTCCCCATCCCTGAGCATCGTGAGCTCAGCTGTTCCACTGTAACCAGGGGTGCTATGGTGGGTTTTGTTTTTCACGTAGACACGTCGAAATGCCAAGTGGCTGACTGTGGAAATGATGCAGGACGGCCACCAGGTGTCCTTGTTGAGCGGGGAGCTGACGGTGGACCAGCGAGCTTCTATCATTCAGAGGTTTCGAGATGGGAAAGAGAAGGTTCTGATAACAACCAATGTTTGTGCTCGAGGTGTGTGTGTGTTTAAAGTCAGGTGCTGAGGTATGACTTACACATGATGCTATTCATTCCTTAAGTATGTAATATGGTGAGTTTAGACCAGCATATATAGTCATGTACCATCACTAATCAAAATACAGAATATTGCCATCTTCCTGTTTCATCATGCTCCTCTACAGTCAGGCTCCTCCTCTCTTGTGGCACTTGAAACTGATGATCAGATGTCAGATTTCTGTCCATATATTTCATCTCTTCCAGAATGCCGTATAAATTAAGTCACACGCACAGAGCCTGTGCATCCTACTCTTTCACCTAGCAGAATGCCTTTGAGTTCCATCAGTGTTGTAACATGTACCAATACTCTCTTCTTTTTTATTGCTAGCATTTTCCCCCTGATGGTTCATTCATTCACCAGTTGGACATTTGGACTGTTTCCAGTTTGGGGCTATTTTTTTAATACAGCTGTAATGAAAACTCCTGTGTAGATCTTTATGTAGACATGTGTTTTCATTTCTCTTGGGCAAATACCTAGGAGTGGGATTGCTAGGTCATGTGATAAGTATATGTTTAGCTTTATAAGAAGCTGCAAAACTTTTCCATAGTATGGCTGCATCATTTGGCATTCCCACCACTAGTATGGGAGAGTTGCAGTTGCTCTGCATCCTTGCCGGCAGCTGATATTTAACACTCTTACTACTGATTTTAACCATCCTAGAAACTGTGTAGTGAGATCTCATTGTGCTTTTAATTTGCATTTCCCTAATAACTAATGATGTTCAGCATCTCTGAGGTGTTTTTAGTCTTTTTGGTGTTTGTTTGTTTGTTTTGGTACCGGGGATCAAACTCAGGACTTTGTGCTTGTGAGGCATTTGCGGTGCCACTGAGCTAAATCCCCGGCCTGAGGTGTTTTTAGTTTTAAAGCTATTAACTATTGGGAAAAAAATTATTTCTTCAAGAGAGTGGCTCTCCTTTCTTCATCCCTTCTATGTCCTTGCTTAGACCCCATATTCAAACTTTGTTTCCTAGTTCATTCTGAGTTCAGCAAACAGAATTGATGGCCTGTTCTACTAGTACTAAGTGCTAAGCCCTGCCTTTGAGAAATATAGCCTGAGAAAGGATAAGATCCGTGCTGCTCAAAAGCTCACCATTTAGTCTCTTGCCTCTCTAGACTGGCTCTATCCAATAGAATTTTCTGCAGCGATGAATATGTTCTATTCCATGCTGTTGAGTTGGTATCTGCTAGCCACATACAGCCCTTGAGCATTTGAAATGTGACTAGCGTGACTGGGGAACTGAATTTTTAATTTCAGTAGCTACACAGGGCTAATGGTTGCAATATTGTATAGCAAAAGTCCAGGCCCTAGAGCATGGGTGTCCAACTTTTTGGCTTGCCTGGGCTTCATTGAGTGAAGAGGAATTGTCTTGGGCCACATATATAATATTAAAAAATTAAAAATAAAATATAGAATATGATTAATGTATTTAAATACAAAACTTTCTTTTTTGTTTTGACTTATTATTTTATGAAATAACAAAAGTGCAGGTTTAATAAATAAGGCTTATACATCTGCTTAGTAACAATACTTGCACACAGGAACACACACACATATGTAGGTGGAAATACTATTGTCCACAATCACTGTGTTTTACTTGCCAACTCACACAAGCACAGGAAACATCTGATACATGGAGGTTTCAATTTGACTGACTGTAGGTGGCCCCAGAAAGTGAAGTTAGCCCTGCACTGTGTCCTCCCCCACGCAACATTCTGTTATCACCTATGTAGTCCATACACAAGCAACATTCAACTGAGTCATGAAAAATATCACTGAAAATCATATAATACTATTACAAGTTTATGATCTTGTGGGGCTACATTACCAGCCATCCAGGCCATAGGTTGGACATACCTGCCCTAGATAAAAGAGGGCACAGTGAGCGCTTCGGGTGAAGGCCCAGGACAAAGAGAACCAGGGTTGTGACCCAAACAGCTTGTTAATTGGGAGGCAGAAGGCCCTTGAGGTCACAGAAGTCTTCCTGGGTAACCTTAGAATTGAAAAGTTTCAATTCTAATTGGAAGGGTAGCAATGAGATATACTAGATAAAAACCAGGATGGTTAAATTCAGAAAGAATGGCAGTAACAGTCATTGGCAAGGATGCACAGCACCTACGACTCTCCCACACTACTGGTGGGAATGCAAAATGGCACAGCCTCTGTGGAAGTTTTCCAGTTTCTTATAAGGCTAAACAACACTTGATGAATGAGTTGGGGAAGAATTTATAGTGTGTTTGGGAAATGGCCAGACCTTGTGACTGGTGTGTTGTACCTGTGAGTTAGGAGAGGAAGAAGTGAGACTGTAGGTGGCTTGAGGTCTTGACTGGCTTGTACTTTATCCTGTATGACTTGGGTAGTGGGCTCTGAGCCCAAGTTCTGGAACCTGCTGGGGCGGCCATTGTGGAAAAGATTAGAGAAGTGGGAGAAGAGATAGAGGGGAAACGAGTCTGGAAGTTTTCCTAACAGTTGAGGCAAGAGATAAAAAAGATTGAGGAGAAAAGTAGCCAGGGAATGGAGCAGAGTTGTGGTCCAGTGAGAAGTAAAGGTTTGGGGAGCTAAAAGCCCTGCTGAAGAGTTCATATAGCAGAGACACAGAGGAGAGGGCGGCCCTGGGGGCTTGGTGAGAGCACATCCCCATACATAAATGTACACCCGTGCTTTGTGTAGCTTTATATCTACACTTATGTAGAATCAGCCTCTGTTCACACTTAGCCAGCATCATAGACATCATAGCATAAAAGCTAACAGCCTGACCAAAATACCTATTTCAGTTATGTAAAGCCAGGGTGATTTCCAAATTGTCCCCATTAATGAGAATTCCTTCAGCACATGTGGTTCTTTAGTGGCTATGTCCTAAAGAAAATATCACAACCCTAGCTGTCTTTCCTTTACTAGGGATTGATGTGAAGCAGGTCACGATTGTTGTAAACTTTGATCTCCCTACAAACCAAGCACTGGAGCCTGACTATGAGACCTACCTCCATCGCATTGGGCGGACAGGACGCTTTGGGAAGAAAGGCCTTGCCTTCAACATGATTGAAGTGAATAAACTGCCCCTGCTCATGCAGATCCAGGACCATTTTAGTAAGTAGCACTACTTTCTCAGTGGGAGCCAGGTGAGGGGTGCCAGGAGCGTGAGTACAGAGGCTTAGGATAGTGTGGAGGCAGAAGCCATAGAGTGGAAGGCTTCTCATCCGTAGGACCAGACTCCTCACATGAGTCCCTTCATCAGATCATTCTTGCAAGATAGTTAAATAACAACTTCAAGATAAGTGGAATTTACATGAGCTCATTCATCTGGAGCAGATGTGCACATCCTATAAAAATGTACCCTAAGCAAAGTAATAGTGTCCTTTAAGATTATATTCTGTACCCAGCCTCTTTAGTGTACATGTTTCCCCTCCTTTTGCTCTGCCCCCTTCAATAGGAAAGCCTGAATTCTAAGTTCTGCAACCCCTCCTACAGCCCCCCATCTAATAAGGTAGGCTCTGCTAGCCTCCTGGGGCTGTGGACTACAGAGTGCACTGACGGAGCCCTGAGGACGCCTGCTCCTCAGATCACCCTCCACCCCAAGCCCATGCATGTGCTTGGGAGCAGGGCAAGAGGAACATTCATTGCCTTCTAGGAGGCAACAGGCATGTGCCTTGGAAAATGCACATATGTAATGTTCATGTATAATGTTTGGAATATATTTTGTAAAGGTTTGCAGACTGAATTTTACCCCTGTGTCAGGCTAACTGGGGAGGGAGGGAAAGAATGAACCAATAGGAATACTGTCACAATGATAAGCCCTATAAACCTGGTCTTGGGAAGTGACTGCAGTTGAGAAGGTTTAGTCCTTCCCAGGCTCTTGTCACTGTCCCTGTGGCCTTTTTCTGCCCCAAGACATCTGAATATGTCTATCCCATGGTCTGGTGCATTTGCTGCTGTTTTGGTTAGTGTTGGTTATTTTGTTCCCATGTTTTCCTCACATTCCTATCTCAAGGCATTCTATGCAAAGTGTCACAGGAACATATAGTTTCAAAGGTGTTACTGTCTTAAAAAAAAAAACTCAGAGGAGCCTGGAATGAACTTCCATTTAGGCCCTGGGGTGAGACTGTTTCCTTTTTTCTTTTGTTTTTAGATAGCAGTATTAAGCATCTCGATCCTGAAGACATGGATGAGATTGAAAAGATTGAATATTGAAGAAAGAACTTTATTGTGTATGAGGTATCCTGTTCTTTGTGACAATGTTCCTGAAGGTTTTGAAGATACTTTTTTATGTTGAGGCTCTTTCGATGTGAAACTGTCACAGATGGCAAAATAAATGTCATGGTACTCTTAGTTTTAAGACCTGAGGTCTTTTGGAAACCATATTAATGTAAAGCACGTGATACTTTTGAATTAAAAAAAAAAGCAAGATCCTTTCTGAGTCTAATTTTTTTTAATAGGTAAACATCTGTGTGGACGGCTGGGATGTGTTCAGATCATTTATATAATCTGAGCAGAGCATCTCTCATGAGCCAGGGCCACGAGGGGGCAGTAGAACAACACTGATTTTGTGCTTTGAGCTGCTGGGGCAAAGGGAAAAGCCACACATTTCCAGGCCTCACTCACAGGCTGCCCTTGTTAGCCATTAATTTCCCTTCCCCTCAGCCTTTCACCCTCCTCTGTGTGGATGTACACATTTTGAGGTGAAGGTACAGAGCAAAACCTTTGAAAAATGAAACATTTGGAAAATAGTGTTTTGCTCTTGCAGTGTTTCATGTGACATCTAGAATTTCAGAATAATTTCCTGTTTTGCTTCTTCTGTCTTCAAATTAGAGATTTACTTCATCGTCAGTTATTTCATAATCTTAGAAAAGGTGGCTTTATTCTAGGTATTTCTTAAAGATAGGCAGTAGGGGGTTTAAAAGCAAGTTCACATGCCCATTAAAGAAGTAATGTCTCCAGGAACCAATTTGCTTTTAAGAATTAATGGCAGGGGGCCGGGGATTTAACTCAGTGGTTTCTCTGCCTGCTTTGCAAGCACAAGGACCCGAGTTCGATTCCCGGTACCAAAAAAAGAATTAATGGCAGGGCCAGGGATTTAGCTCAGTGGTTCCACCACCTGCCTCATAAGAACAAGGTCCCGAGTTCGATCCCTGGTACCAAAAAAAGAATTACTGGCATATGTGGGACACTCAGATACACCGAGGTGCTTTATTTCTCACATCTGCTGCTCAGAAGTGAGCCATGCGCTTGAGAAATGGGATGAAGGGCCAGTCTCCCACAGAGAGCCAGAGCCCAGGTGCCGGCTCTTGACACAGCCCTCTGTTGCCAGTAGGGGCTCCAGCGAATGCTTTTGTCACCCTGGTATGGACAGTGGCTTCTGGCTTAGCTCTTTTGATACTCACCCTGTCCATATCTTATCGCTAAGTGCAGGGCTTAGAAATACACAAAAATCGCTAGGCTTCCTCATTAATCATCAGCTATCTATTGTGCTTAATGTCAGAAAAGAGATTAATAAGATACAACAGATATTGCAGAACTCAGTCTAATGACAAAGACTCAGAATAAACCATTATTAGATTGTGCTACAGGAGAGGCCTACAGATTGCTAGCACTGTATGAGGCTGGGGCGGGAGGTTGCCCTGTGGCCAGTTTCCAGAGGAGAGGACACTTAGAGTCTCCTATAGAAGGACAGAATGATCAGTAGTCCCTTCCCAGTATGCACTTAGTAGTACCACCTAGCAATTCCCTAACCTGGGCCCATTGACACAGTGTTCCAGAACCAGCTCATTACCATAATTACCTGGAGACCCTGGGGGGAACTATGGATGCCCTGCCCCATGCGCAAAAACTAGATTCTCAGAGAGTAAAGGCCCAAAATACATACTTACATAAGGGAGCTGAAACTAGAGGCAGATTAATGGGTCATAAGGACTATTGACTCGGAGGAGACACTGAGGCAAAGACAGGTCCTCAGAACTGATATTGTAGAGTACCCACTTGGGAATGTCTGCTCCAGTCTTCCTTCCACTATGTCTCTTGTCCACTCAGTATTCACCCCAACAAGTGCCCAGCATATACCAGGTACTCAATGAATATATGTTCTTGTTGAGTAAATAATTTTCTTTTTTTCCATTTCCTCATTGACTAACGTTTTTTTCCTTAATGTTTTCCATCCTAGTTTTGAACCCAAATAATATGATATAGGATGGGTAAGCATGGGAAGCATAACAGGATATTTTGCTCTCACTGTTCCGAGAACTGAGTTGGCTTTTCCACCACACTCAGCTCAGCCTTGGGATGTCCTAAATAAAATTTTACTACTTGCTGGCCAGTTCAGATCTCTGATAAAGTCTCCACCAGTTACCCTGAAGAGCACCTTCAATAAGCTCCCTTTGACAACTCTTCCTACAGGGCCTGCAAACACAAGGCATTCTTCCGCCTTCCCCTTTGGCCCTCTCCTCATATCCCTTTGTTTGGCCACCTAGGAGGCAGCTCAGCCATCCTGTTTTCTGCACGGTCACAGCTGTTTTAACACTAACTGTCCAGTTTAGTGAGTCAACAATGCAAAGGCTGTTTGCCGTGGTGTGGCTCCTTGCTCAGAATTCTAAGCAGTTTTCCTGTCTTCACACATGCTCCGGCCAAGGTCATCCCTCTCGATGCCTGTTGAAGGAAAAAGAAAATGGAGAGGCAAGAAGTAACCGAATGATTTCAGTGCATCTGTGAGCTGGCTTAATCAGCTGTGTATTACTTGGCACCAAATACTAAAGCAAATCCATTAGGTTTATCTTGGCCAACTTACTACTGTTAGCATATTGAAATTCATGGTTATGTGGAGCAGGGCTATGATTTTTCAGTGGGATCTGTGAGTGATCACCTAGCCTGGGGCAGGTCTGCTGTGACGTTAGGTGCTGGATGTGAGGCAGCTGTTAGTAATAGGAAAGGTAAATGAGTTGGTCATAGTCTGGTAGCTCCTCAAGAGACATCCTTGTGTATGGAGAAACTGTTGATCCTCCTCAGCAAAGTTTGGTCACTGTGAAAGCCACTGGCTGTCTCTGCACATAGGATCAACAGTGGAAAATCTTATTCGAGGATTGCTGGGATGGGGCACGGGGGAGGCAGTACCTATCTGGAAGGAAGTGGTTCTGTCACACTTTGGTTTGGCTCTTGGCTCCCTGATTCAAGTAGGGGCCTTCATCAGAAAGAGAACCCAAGCAGAGACAACCCAGCTATTGGAGGGGAAGTAGAAATGAGAGTCCAGATCAAGGGCTCCTCAGGCCAGGCCTGCACTTCAGTGCCTGAGCCAGGGGCCTACCCCTGTTCTCCCTTCTGTACTCAGACAGCCATGCACATCAATTTTTTCAGGAGAGCATTCAAGATCTAGGCATCTGGCTCCTACTAGTTTCACCAAGGGAGTAACAGAAGGCTCAGATTCTTCTCCAACCCCTCACTCCAGCCCTCAGCCACTGCCAGGCAATAGTCCTCATGTCATTTTAACCCACAAACTGTCTTAGTACTATATCTACTTTGGAGAATGCCAACTTTCTGCTATAGAAAGACATTTTCTGTACATTTTTAAATCTGTGGCTGAGAGAAGAATATGATACTTCCCCTTTAAACTTAAACTTCTACACTCTTCAGTGAAATACAGGAAATATACCTGAAGTGGGCTGATTCTTGGCTAGAGAAGTAACAGTGTGTCTGGCCAGCACATTGGAGGGGCCAGGTGGCTGTGTTTAGAACTACCTAGCCCTCCTTTACCAATGTATCAGCCTTCCACTTCTGGCAAGGTTAGAAACAACTAGAAGCTCAAATGTAACAAATACGGAGCTCCTCTTGTATTGAGGAGAACTGGAAAAAAATTTTTAATGAGAATCCAAAATCTTTATAGAGAAATATGGCAACTCTCAGTAGCACTTTTCTTAAGGAATTCATCTTTGTCTATAATTTTTTCCTAATAATAGAATAATCAGAGTTTCTATATTCCAGTTTCTAGAATTTATTTTTCATGAATGGGAATGGATTCAAATTTTTTCGCTTAATATTTTTTCACTGCTAGAAGAAATGATAACAGGAGCAGTCCAGTCCTTTGGTTTGGGATTTGTGGCTTGAAATCTGTTGGAAGGAAGTAGTTGATGAGGGAGCCCTACTGTGTGTGAAGTTCACAGGCGTGGTCATGTAGAACAGTCTCTGGCCTGACTGAACAAGCCCCTTTGCAAGGTAATAAACTCCCCATCAGTCAGAAAGTGAACAGCTACTTGTTTTGGGTGCTATACTTCTGGATCTTGAATTACTATAAGTTTGGAATAAAGTGATTTCTGGGGCCATGTTTCCATATTCTAAAATGCCATGTTTCCAATGACCACACACATAATAGCTCCACACATGGAAGAATGTGAGCCATAGAAGCTTTCTGCAGAAAATTGTTTTCCACAGAAGAAAATAAATGAGATTAGCTTCTAACAGCACCCTACATTAACTTTCAGACTCACAGGGCCCACGTGACTATCTCTTTTATACTGTGTCATCAGTTTATGCAGAATATGGGTTATTTTTAATTTAATATTTGTATTATAAAAAGCAATAAAACAGCAAGCAAAAGTAGTAACACAGGAGTTATCAAAAATCTCATTACTAAGCTGAGCATGGTGGAACATATCTATAATCCCAGCACTCAGGAGGGTGAAGCAGGAAGATCACAGATAGTTGAAGACCAGCCTGGGCGATAGTGAATTCAAAGCCAACTTGCACTACAAAATGAGACCCTGTCTCAAAAAAACAAACAAAAATCTCATTACTTAATCATTACAATTTTTACCGTGTTATAGTCCTTTTCATCTTAATGTGAAAATACTCCCATCATAGTGAATTACCTTATTATATCCTTTTATTTGAAATCTTCAAGTTGATGTTCTTAGTCTTTGGGATTATCATTAAATGATAATTGGCTAGATTACCTAACTGGTGAATATGTAACTATTTTTGCTCAACATTTATATGGTGTTCCATTTTCCCACATTACTGTATAATGATAAATGAAGCTTCGGTGAGTATTTTATTTCAATATTTTTAATTATTTCTTAGGATTTAAGATGTTTAGTTTCAATGCCAGCTCAAAACAGAGGCACTTTTTTTTTGTATTAAATTCTTTTATTGGTACATTGTAGGTATGCAACACAATTACATTTCTCATTGGGAATTGTACCTTTATATAATGCATCTTGGTTCTTATTTTTTCCCCATTCCTAGTCCTCCCTTCACACCCTCCACCCTTCCCTATTTACAAAGACTTTATTTCCATTTTTTCCATTTCTCCTCATTTTTTCCTTTCCCTTCTTTCCTTTCCCCTGCCCCTCCCACTACCCCTACCCCTTTGGACCTTTCATTCCTATTTTACATTATCGATTATTCATTCTAATAATTGGTACATTTT